CTTCATGCGGACAGGTCAGTACCTGCGCTTCGCAGACTGGCGTTTTATTCACTGCGCGCGCCTCGACGTGCTCCCCTTAAATGGGGCGCGTCGATGGGGCGACGGTGATAAGCGATGTCGGAAGTGCGGGTACCAGGCGGAAACCTTGCCCCACGTGTTATGTCACTGTGGCCCACATTCGACCGCTCGGCAATTGCGGCACAACGCCATTGTCGAGAGGCTTGCCGCGGCCTCCAGGCTCCGGGGGGGGGGGGGTCAGAACTAACCAATGCGTTCCGGGCGTCGACGGAGACCTCGCGGCTCTGCGGCCTGACTTAGTCATCACGCACGAGCCGTCGAGAATCGTCGTCATAATAGACGTGACCCTAGCTTTTGAAAATAAATTTGCAGCGATCGAAAAAGCGAGGCTGGAGAAAGTCCAAAAATACCAGCCTCTCGCGGACGCGTTAGCGAGATCCGGTCACGTCGTCCATGTTGACGGCTTCGTCGTAGGCGCCCTGGAACGCATTAAGATTATCGACAGAAATCGTCAAGAAAATTCCATGTAAGTTGACATATGAAAACTGGAATTTTATGACTTCTTTAGTTCTATGACCGAATTCTATTGGGAAGTCAAAACAAAATGTTACTGATTTTAAGATATGCAATTAATTATTTACATTATTACATTTGAAAAAAATTTGTTAATTTATTATAAATTTGTTTTACTTTTATAGGCATTTATACTAATGGTAGCCATATGTCAACTATATCATGAAATTCCTTCAATCTCCTGTATTTAGTATACAATTAAGCGCATATTATAAAAACGCAATACCAAAGCTTGTGGAATAAAAAGACAATCGAATTAAATAGTTTCGATACAAATACTTTAAACATTAAAAAATTGGAGGAAATACTTCACAGTACCCAAAATGTCATGAATGCCATTCTAATGGAATTTAAGTAAGTTTTCAGTTAAGGTTTTCAGTTACCTCCTAATGCGAAGTAAACCAAGTTCTACCAAGACCATCGCTGGAATCGCGGCAAAATGAACGCTGGCCTGCATAGGGTAATAAATTACGCTGCCGCGCGTGCTCTGCTCGTGGTAAAACCACGCAACTATTTACCAGTGTGTAAAATGCCAAGTTGGGTTGTGTGTAGTGCCGTGTTTTCAGGATCACCATACAAAAACAAATATATAGTTTTCAATATGAATTCCGGGCAAACAAGAGAGCAGCGTAAAAAGGGTGAGTACAATAAAATACTTGGTTATTATTATTATGATCGTAATTTACGTATTTTATTTAACTTTATTTATAGTGTATATTTTTTTATATCAAATGACAAACTTAAAAAAATTAAGCAAATTTAATGCAGATCATCCTAGTTTTTGCTTTATGAATTCTGTTGCGTGATTTTTTAGATATAATTTTTTTTATTTGACTGCACACATAAAATTTAAATGCTGCCATTTTAATTCCAGCTGTGTTTACAGTACGGGATTTAAATCCGTACTTAAAAGGTTAATATTTATCCATTTATGATAAGAATTAGTTTTGTATAAATTGTAGAAATTTTCCGTTCATATGTACAAATTTTTTGTAAATTATATATAGAAAGAACAATAAATTTAAATTTATAATAAACTACGTACAATTAGATGTATGTTTTTTAATACCTTTCATTAATTAATTAAGAATTATTTTAGAATTATCTTTGGAAATATGTACATTAAATTTTTTAATTTCTAATTAGATTTTTAACTTTTATGAAAGATCATTTAGTCGATAAACAAACGCTCCTTGATAAGAAAATATTCCATTAGTCATTAATCATTTCCGATTATATTCCGAGGAATATATTCAAAAGGAAGTGTAAATTTATAGTAAAAATCCAAAAATTACGAAATTATTGATTGCTATAAATAGATATAATAGAATATAAAAGGAATAGAATAGAATATAATAGAAAAATGATGTCTTGAAACGCTCGAGGCCAGAAATTTTCAATAATATACCTATCCCCTGATTTATATTAAACACAGGTTTCTCAGACAATCGTGTAAATCGAAATCGTGGATTTTGATACATGAAATCGTGTAAATCGAAAACTAAATGTGCATAATTCATTTATTTCATTTAGTCATTTATTTCAACGCACAATAAAAATAATATTCTTGAAAAACATAAAGATTACAGTCCATTCATATAATGACAAGTATATAAAGGTATAAGATATAAAATTTAATCAAAAATTTAATTATATGCTGTCATCACTTTCATAGACTACTCGAATTAATCTTTTCTTTCTGATTGATATGATGTCACTTTCATTACTCGATAGTAATTAATTCTGGTTCGATGGTTAATGAATTAGGGGCAATTTCAGATCGGCGAGACTTGGTAATGAAATCCGTAATTAACAGTGTGTTTGGTTTTTGGTTAAATCTTTATAGTGCTTCTCATATTGAGCTAAGTATTTATTAATATCTCGCTGGAATCGGAGAGCTCGTTCAACATTTAAATCATTTTATATAATTGTAATAATTATCCAATTTTCGCCTTAATTCAAGTCCTACGCGGATGACTTTTGCTGTGAATGCAACTGGTTCAGACTCCTCTTCATCAAGATTATGTCACGATCATTTGTTTCATTAGCCAGGTTAACTAAATCATCCTCATCTAGTTTTTCGTCCGCCATTGGTTTAGGTTAGGTTACGTTTCTACAATATCTGCCTCAGCTAAATCTCAGGAAACCTTTTTCTCCTATTGCATGCGCCAACATTATCTGAAAATATTCATGCTCCAATGGTAATCTAGAATTTTCATCTTCAACTACATTTGGCCATAATTTTTTCCAGCAGGCATTGATTGCTTAATCTTGGTATATGACACTCCAACATGCTTAACACAAGATTGTAAATAAGATTGTAAATTTTTTCCAAGCATCCATCATTTAAGAGATCCATCATTTTTGATTTGTTCTAAAATGTACCTGAATGTTCACTTGATGTACCGTGCCTTAAAAGTCGAAATTATCCCTTGATCAACAGTTACAATAAAAAAGTATTTTTGGGTGAAAATAAAACTTGCACATTTTCGTGTGGTAAATCTTGAGGATGGCCTGGTGCATTATCAATTAAGAGAAGGCCCTTAAAAGGCAACCCCTTTTTACTTAAATACTTTTTGACGTTTGGGACAGAAAAGTTACAAAACCATTCATTGAAAAGTATAGCAGTAACCCATGCTTTCTTATTACCCATCCAATAAACGGAAAGGTTGTTGATGTTTATTCCTTTAAATAAGCGTGCCGTTTTTGATTTGTTAATAACCAATGGTTTCATTATATGATCGCCTGAAACGTTGCTACAGAAAAAAATTGTTATATGACTTTTCGCTCTTTATGATCACTAGCTGATTTGTGAGCTTCAGCCAAATAGGTTCTTTCTGGCATTTTTTCCAAAATAATTCGAACTCGTTAGCTTTCCAAAATAATTCGAGCTCGTTACTGAAGATCTAGTCAAGAGTGTAGGAATTGGCGGCAATAATTCCAGGAAATTTAGCTGGATATTGTTGCACTGCATCTGAATCAGCAGAATCATGGCTTGCAGAAAAAGATAGCTTCTTTTCAGCTGAAGAAGTAGATGGTAACTGTTTCTTAATTTTTTCATAAATCTTCAAAGCCTTATTTGTAATGGCATTGATATCAATTGGAATCCGCTCTTTGGTTTGGTTTCTAGCCATATCATTAGTGCCTTTTCCATATTTTCCATTGCAACATCTCTTACGTATGAAGCTGTGCTCATATTTGTACAAGATCCAGCTGCTACACTTTCTTAAATGGAGTCTTCATTTATTCTTATTGTGCTTCTTGTGGCCTCATTCATAGAATAAAATTTAACAACATCTGTTACTCTTTCTGCATTACGTAGACGATCTAAAATTTTAATTTGGTTTCTATAGAAATGACTTTTCTTTTCATTTGTTTTTTTTTTTTTTTTAATTTCTTTTGGCCCCTAAAATTTTAATGAAATTATTAAAAATGCTACAAAAATTATAATTTATTTATCACTAACCAGTAAATATGAAGTTTCAAAAAATTAGAAAAAATTCCATTAGAACAAACGCAATGTACACATTTCTGTCACTAAAAATTTACTGCACTACATCACATGAACGGAAAATTTTATTGTGCATACAAAAGGGGAATCCCCATTTTTTAGATTTGATAAAAAAAAAATGAAATAAATGACTAAAAATATTGCGCAAGTATTACCAAGCGAACGGAATTAAAAAATGATTGTAGAAATATGTATGCAGCGAGAATGTTCACTTTTACCAGTTTTTTTTAAAAATCCGTTATTTTAAAACCATGTAAAAACGAAATTGTGTAAAAAAAGTGTAAATCGGGAGATAGGTATATTCTAATGATGACATTATCGCGTAAACATCACGTACCATGTATAAACCGAATAATTTCGAAAATTCTAAAGGTTTAAATATTATCTAGTACATCTAATAATTCGTTTCTAATATTTTAAAGTATTATTTAGATATTTTAATAGATAATGTATAACAGTTAAACCGTAAACATTTCTCATAATGTTTCTACATTATTTAACAATTTTAACAATTTATTTACAAGTTACAGTTAAAGTACTAATTTACTTCCTCAACGTTTCTAAATATTATTTAAATATTTTAATAGATTATGTATAACAAGAAACATTAATATGTTTCCTAATGCATTCCTAAACGTTATTTAATGATATTAACAATTTATTTATAATAATTGAATCATTAATTCTGTTCTTTGGTATTTCTTATTGATCAATTTTAACGATTCGTTTGCAACATTTAGATTATTAAATTCTTTAATATATCAGTATATTATCATTTTTTTGTTTCAGAATGACACCTACTGGTTGGCACTATCCATTCAAATTAAAATTAAATTTCTGGAATTTAAATAATACTGAACTTCTTCAAGCCAAAATCAAAACATTATTCATTCAAATCATATTTTGCAATACTGAAAGGATCGATGAGTTGCATGATTTTCTTTGATACTGCGTTCAATAATTCAACGTCTAAACATAATAGCTTATTTATAATAATTAAGTTATTGTATTTGTATAATATTTTTAAATATTATTTAATAATTTAATAATTTAAGTTTTTAACATTCCAATGATAAGCTTCTTAGAGTTACTATATATGTAATAGTATGTACGTAATAGAAGGTCTTGCGTGTAGTCACCTTCCCGTGGTAATTGATATCGTTTTCAAAACTTTAATTTTTTCAAAACGATATCAAGCTAAGAACTACGCAACCTATAGTCCAGCCTAAATCCTGCAAATTTCTTATTTTTATTTCATGATTTTTGAGCGATAGTGATAGCTTGTGCGTTAGCTATCATAAGATAGTAAATTCAATGTAAGCACATTTTATAACATGATATGCTTAAGGCTATAATATATATGAACTAACTTTTATTTTTTCTTTAAACATGTAAAATATATTAAACCAATTGTAATTTAGTTATAATTGTTTTCAATTTAAACTTTGATTTGTATTTTAATATATTGTGCTTTGATTTATTTTTCATCGGTTTTTTTCTTAAAACTTCTTTTGCTGTTTGTTTTACACAGTAATAAGAAATTATAAACATTTTATAATCGTACATCAAAACGAGTTTCTTTTTTTTCGTTGAATACGTAGCAACATGGTGAGACTAGGGCAATCAG